AGAAAGAGATTTTAAAAGGGTTAGATGCTGGAATAATATATCTATTTCAGATAGTGCTTGGGTGAGTCCAATTCACTGTGTTCCAAAGAAAGGAAGTGTGACTGTAGTGTCAAATGAGTAATGATTTAATACCAACAAGGCAGGTCACTGGATGGCGGATCTACATAGATTATAGAAAATTAAATTCTGCCACCATAAAGGATCGTTTTCCTTTAGCCTTTTTGGACCAGATGTTGGATAGACTGGCTGGGCACATATATTTTTGTTTTCTAGATGGATATAATGGTTATCATCAAATAAATATTGCTTCTGAGGATCAAGAGAAAACAACATGTACTAGTTCTTATGGAAATTTTGCTTTTCGACTAATGCCCTTTGTATTTTGTAATGCATATGCAACATTTCAAAAATGTATGATGTCAATTTTTAGTGGATTAATTGAAAAAGGGATTGAAGTCTTTTTAGATGATTTTTCTATATTTGGAACTTCATTTGAAATATGTCTAAATCATTTAGAAAAAGTTCTTGAACGATGTGAAAAGACTAATCTCGTACTAAACTGGGAAAAATGTCAATCTATGGTTGCAGGAAAAATTGTGTTTGGGCATAAAATTTCAGAAAATTGCATGGAAGTTGATCCTAAAAAAATTTTGGTTATATCAAACCTACCTCCACCTACTACTATAAGAGGAGTTAGGAGCTTTTTAAGACATGCTGGATTTTACAGACAATATATTAAAGATTTTTTAAAAATCACAAAGCCTTTATGCCAACATCTAAAAAAAGATACAAAATTTGACTTTAACTAAGATTGGCTTAATGTTTTTAAGGCTTTAAAGGAAAATTTGATCTCTGCTTCAATAATTGTATCACCTGATTAGGGGAAACACTTTGAATTAATGTGTGATGCAAGTGATTATGCAAGTGGAGCTGTGTTAGGGCAAGACATGATAAGATTTTTAAAGTCATATATTATGCTATTAAGACTCTTAATGATGTTCAAATTAACTATAAAAATACTGAAAGAGAGTTATTAGTCATTGTTTATGCTTTTGATACGTTTAGGTCATGTCTGATTGTAGATAAATGTGGTGTGCATACTGACCACTCGGATATTAACTATTTAATGCAAAAGAAGGATGCGAAACCAAGATTAATTAGAAGAGCACTTCTGATGCAAGAGTTTAATTTTGTAGTAGACGATAGAAAAGTGAATGATAATCAAATTGTTGACCATCAATCTAGGCTAGAATAGGAAGAAATACCTGATTTGGAAAAAGAAATTAATGAAAATTTTTCTGATGAACAAATTTATGTTGTAAAAGGATAGGAAAAAAGGATAGGAAATATCGTATTATATTGATATTGTAAATTATATTGTTAGAGGTATTTTATCATATGGACTAATAAAACAATAGGAAAATAAATTCATTCATAATGCAAAGTCTTATTTTTGGAAAGATGATGCTAGGTGGATTTAGTGTGTTAATTTTACAAATATCTTTCAATATTACAAAATGCACACTATAGAAATAATATTAAATATGCAAATTAATCTAAAGAAAAAAAACTTTTATGAAAATAGTTTTATCTTTTAAAAATCTTTAAACTGTCAAATGCCCTAAAAATAACGCAAGTATACGTATCACTCAAGTAATAAAAGGCTCTAATGGAGTCCTAGATATCGATCCCAAAGGGAAGTTAGAAATGTCTGTTAGTAAATTCTTAAGATTATAATCTAAACTACAATTTTAAACTATAAAAGTGAAGTGCTAAATTTGAATATAAAGTAATAGAGTGAATGCTAAATAAGATGTAGTAAAAAAATAATAAAGTTAATTAAACTAATTGAAACTAATTGCTAAACTTTCAAAAGTAGCTAAACTTTCAAAAATAATTTTATGAAAACTAAACAGAGTTTTTGTGACGAAGAGTTTAAATTTATGAAAGCATTCTTCTCCTTTTCAATGAATATATGAATTGCGAAGAAATTAAAATCATTTGAAAAAAAAATATAAGAATTATTTTTATGCAAAATGGGAGCAATCATATTATTTACCCTCTTCTGAGTGCATAAAAAACTTGACTAATCCAGAGTTTGGTCCCTAATTTCATCGTTAGGCAGGAAGGATACCGACTGCCACTCCATAACTCCTAGTACTCCTTCACCTGAGGGATAACAATCTCACATCAATTTCCAATCAACTGACCAAATTGGGGATTTTAATCTGTCACCTTAAAATCTCCAATACTGCATCCAACAAAATATGTTTCCCTATTTATTTTCATTCAACTCCATGGATGATATCCTCTCCCATGAAATCAAATGAGATTCTCAAGATATTGTAAAAATCATAGCCCTTTTAGATCATATATTTTTCAACACATGTTAACAATTCTATTGGTCATATTGAAAAGTAAATGAAGATAGAAGTTCGTATCATCACAAATTATTGACATTTAAAACTGAAAGAAACAAAATCAATTCTTCACAAAATAATATCTCAAAGTATGGAGAAGGATAAACAAGACCACTCAGAATTCATGAGAAGGATACGGCTATTTTTTTCAAAATACGATTTTAAAATTTAAATTTAATATAATATATAATTTAATTTTAATTTTGTGAAAATGATATTTTTTTTTTATTTTTGGAAAATAATGAGACTAAATAGACCTCATATATCTAATAGTTTAAATGACTGAGCACAATACCATAAATGATATATAATCTCGAAGGATGGACATATCACTTATTGGTAGGCTTAACTATCTAAATTTAATAGTTTATGAATCTATTTTGGTCCACAAATTTTATAGCCGACAAATTTCCCTATCTAATACACATATTAGAAAGATTTTAGATTAATCTTGGTTCTTAATTTCCTATAGAGGCAAACCCCTATAGTTAATTACATCTTAGATAACCGAAGTCACCTAAGAAAGCTCTCGATTAAGATCAGGGTTTCGTCTTCAAGAATTCAACGTTTAGGTTTACATGATTGCTTATAGGAAAAGTCAAGTGGGATATGTTCTAGTATGAACAATTATTACCGGAATCCAAATGAGTGAAAAGTAGGAGATATCGAAGATATTGAAGGAGATTTAGTGACATCTCAAACTAATGTATGGTTTGGTTTTATATCTTTGAAAGAGAAATTATTTGATGTTTTAGTCTTGCAAATTATTTAGATATTCAGGAGTTGTGTCTACATTTCATATGTAAATAACCCGAGGAAATGTGAGGATTTATGTCGTACTGAACGACGACCTGTCGTACTGAACGACATGTCGTACTGAACGACGACCTCAGAATCCTAAAAAGTTTAGGACTTATATCGTACGATATAAAATCGTAAAAAGTTTTAAAGGATAATGTGAGGATTTGCGTAATGCCAGATGAACAACCTCGACGTCCTATAGGTATGTTATTTAAATCTATTGAGGTTCAGTTGAAGTTCCTCATGCCGTCTTCTGTTGTCACCCCGACCGCCATCTGAAGATGAATTGTCATCTGCTCCAGATTGTCGTCTCGATCGCTCCCCAGGGATGAATCAACATTTAATGGTTTCGTTGTCTCGTCTCGAGAAGAGGGGAGAAAGAAGAGAGAACACTTAACTAACCTATTCTAAGCTCTTGTTATTATTATATGTTAAATGAAGTTTAAGGCATTATTTTGTAATCATATTAATGTGTATTATAGAATTTTGAAGAAGTGTTGAAATTAAGAGTGTAGATTTTGAAAAAATCTCACTGAATGAAGTTTGATGTCGGAATGAAGTTTGATGTCGTCTATTTTATTCGTCTCGGAGTGGCTTCACAATCCTTCGACATCTTGACCACGATCGGGTTTACCTCGCAAAGGCGCACAGAGAAATTTGTATGAGAATATTAGTCAACATAAGATTGTAAAAGCTTGTATAAGAATGTACTAGGTACATGTTTATATTCTTGTGCAATCAAATCAAATTTATCAATTAAATTAATGAATAAATTGCTTAAAATTTTGCACACCACTTTAATGTTTGTATTTAATATTTATATATCATGATCACATTTATCATCTAAGACCTCATATGTATATTGTTATTATTGTTATTTTTATTAGTATTCTACATGTGTTATATTTATATATACATGAAAAGTTAATGTTTAGATGGTAAAAACTTATAGAAATCAAGATTCAAATGTTAGCAACGAATAGATATAAAGATGTGATATATTTGCAAATAAAATTTGTAATTAGGTGTTATATCTATAAAGATTCAAGTATAAGTTCATGTTTTGCATTTAAATGTTAAATACTAAAATGAATTGAAAAGAGTATCATTTGAAATTAAGTGTTAGATATGTAAATACTGTAAATATTTAAAAATCTGTAATTATATTTTTTGTTGAATTTAAATGTTGAAAATGAAATATATTAGACTTGGATAAATCAGTAAGTATATTTATATGTGTGTGTGCGTGTGTGTGTCCATATATATATATATGTATATATATATACGCAAATATATTTGAGATTATGTTATATATGTAAACACATAATGTAAAATATATGTTAAAGTTAAAGAAACAATACAACGTATTTAAATTTAGGTGATAAGTATGTAAAAAAAAAAAAAAAATTAAAGTATAAGGGGCACACGAAGGAAC